GATCAAATTTTTCCTCATTTGGAATTTCTTCTGTAATAAGAAAGGAATTTATTACAAAACACTGTCCATAATCTGGGCATTTGAATGGTTACTGTGCTATGTGTAACTTTACATGATTTAAAAGTTTATACCTACTACTGAAATCTCTCCCACACTCTGGACACTCATATGGTTTCCTCTCCTGTGTGAGTCCTCTGATTTCTAACCAGGGCATATTTCGAAGAAAAATCTTTCCCACAATCTGGACACTCAGAGTTTCTCTCCCGTGTGAGTCCTCTGGTGTGTCACCAGGTTGGAATTTTGATTAAAACTTTTCCCACAATGACATTTATATGGTTTCTCTCCTGTGTGAGTCCTCTGATGTCTAACCAGGTCAGATTTCCAAAAGAAATCTTTCCCACAATCTGGACACTCATAGGGTTTCTCTCCTGTGTGAGTCCTCTGGTGTTCAACAAGGTAGGAATTCTGACTAAAACTTTTCCCACAATGACATTTATATGGTTTCTCTCCTGTGTGAGTCCACTGATGGTTCACCAGGGCATATTTCGAAGAAAAATCTTTCCCACAATCTGAACACTCATAGGGTTTCTCTCCTGTGTGAGTCCTCTGGTGTGTCACCAGGCTGGAATTCCGACTGAAACTTTTCCCACACTCTGGACACTCATAGGGTTTTTCTCCTGTGTGAGTCCTCCGGTGTGTCACCAGGCTGGAATTCCGACTGAAACTTTTCCCACACTCTGGACACTCATAGGGTTTTTCTCTTGTGTGAGTCCTCTGGTGTCTCACCAGGCTTGAATTCTGACTGAAACTTTTCCCACACTCTGGACACTCATAGGGTTTCTTTCCCGTGTCAGTCCTCTGGTGTTCCACAAGGTAGGAATTCCGACTAAAACTTTTCCCACAATGACATTTATATGGTTTCTCTCCCGTGTGATTCCTCTGATGGTTCACCAGGGCAGATTTTGAAGAGAAATCTTTCCCACAATCTGGACACTCATAGGGTTTTTCTCCTGTGTGAGTCCTCTGGTGTGTCACCAGGTTGGAATTCTGA